ATATATATATGAAAAAAAAAGGAAATATATTAATAAACTGAAGTGGTTACAACTCTAAGGTATGGAGCCCCAAGGAGGTCACCATGTAACAAAAAAGAAAGGGGAGGAGGGGGAGAGGAGGAGACCACAACACCATTAGAATTGGAAGCAAGTCTGGCAAGCCAGTTGGCAGGTTTGTTCCCTTCTCTGAAGTTAAAATTAAAAATAACATTTCATTTATGTGTGAGGGTGTTGATGGCTTTTAACTATTGCAAGATATGCCAAGAGGAGGGATAACACCTCTAATAATTTGTATAAGGAGGGCGGAGTTAGTTTCCATAAGTAGGTGATCCCATTTCAGCCAAACAACACTCTCGATTGCCCAAAAGGCAGAAACAACTTATGTCTCAAGAGCATTTTGTGCTATGGTAGGACAGTAGAAGTATAATTTGCAAATACCATTAGTATCTCTAAAGATACCACCAAAACCAGCAATAGAGTCACTGATACTACCATCAGTGTTTACTGTAATATAAGGATGTGGAGGCTTAGTCCAGAAAACTTTAGAGACAGTAAAAGAGGTAGAGGGTTGATGAGGCTGTTGCAGAGAGCTGCATATATATCAAGGAAGCCTTTAAGTGTAACCAATTTGTTTATGAAGCCTTTACAGTTAACAGCAGTGGGAGCAACTGTTGGGAGGAGATCCTCATATTTAGCTTTGTTCCTTGCCATCCAAAGAAACCAAGCAACAATACATGGGAAAACAAAACAGTTTGAGCTCAGACCAATCCTTCCAGCAAGATTTCAATGTAGACCAACCCAATAAGAGTAAATTAATATTTAGGCTCTGTGTTAGCTCCTTCCAGACCTACTAAGCAAATTTGCAGTTGAAGAAAAGATGAGGGATTGATTCAACCTCAGAGTGATAAAGATGACATCTAGAAGGGCCTCTCAGACCCTTAAGTTTAAGAATATCATCAACAGGAAGCAATTTTTGAAAGGTTCTCCAGATGAAAAAGGACATAGAGGGGGTTAGGATATATATATATATATAGAGAGAGAGAGAGAGTTCAGAATAAATGGGATCACTTTAGACCTATTTGCCTCACCACTGTCATCAGCAAAATCATTGTTAAAAGGCTGCAGCCACATCTAGACAGACTCATTTGCTCCAATAAGTCTACCTTTGTCAAAGGGGGTTTTATAACTGATAATGCCTTTCTTGCTTAGGAACTGGTTCTGGATTTGGATAAACCTTGCAGGGGGTAATCTGATTTACAAACTAGATATCAAGAAGGCTTATGATTCTATAAGTTGGTCCTTTATTATGGAGATCTTGTATGCTAGAGGTTTTTCTGCTGATTTTTTCTCTCTTATACATAGGTGGCTTGCTAATAACTATCACTCCATTCTTATTAATGGGCAGCTTAGGGGTTCTTTTACTGCAACCAGAGGGCTGAAATAAGGGGACCCACTCTCACCTACTATTTTCATGTTGGCCATTGATTACCTGTCCAGACTCCTCAATTAAAGCATTCTCACTGATAACTATTCTAGATATCACCATCTGTCAAAATTGACTATCTCCCACCTACTCTATGTTGATGATATCATGGTTTTCTCAAGATCTCATAAGGCTGTTGTTAAAAAGGTTATCAAATGTCTCAATACTTTCCAGGAAAATTTAGGTATGTGCTTCAATCCTGATAAATGCCAATTGATCTTTCACAAAAAAAGCTTCTCCCAGCTGCAGGCAGTGGACAACCAAGTATACAGGTTTCTCTTGCACTCATCTACCTCTCAAATATCTTGGTGTCCTCCTTATTATGGGTAGAACTAAGCAGATTCGATTTGATGAGGTCCAAAATAAAATTATCTCCTATCTATCATGCTGGACTAATTCCTTCTTCACTAATGGGGGTAGAATCACTTTACTTAAGAGCATCCTCACCACTTTTCCTTCATATATCCTCCAAATGACCAACCTTAAGAAAAATACTAAATTGCAATTAGAGAGGGCATTCAACAGATTTCTTTGGTCTGGGCAAAGACAGCAACTGCATTGGGCCTCTTGACAAAAGGCAGCTAAACCTATCATGGCTGGTGGCATTGGATTTAAAGAACTTCAACAACTCTTCCATGTTAATTTATGCAAAAAATGGATTAAATTTAGAGATCAATCCTCCTTATGGGCAAAGTTTATGTTGGTTAAGTATTTTAAAGATCAGCATCCCTCACTCACTTTCAGAAAATCAGGAGATTCTAAACTATGGGTCAGCATGCTCAAGGTTAGAGATCAAGCAGAAAAATTTTTCCTCTGGGATTTGGGCAAAGGGGATGTTAATTTTTGGCTGGACCATTGGTGTCAAATGGATTGGCTTACTTTTGTTACAAACCCCCCTAACACAAATATTCAAGTTGCTGATTGCTGGGAGGATGATCATTGGTCCCTCACCAAATTAAGCTCACTTTTGCAGGAACCATCCATCACTCACATCTCTAAACAACCTTTTGATAGGGACAGACCTGATAGAATAATATGGCAAGTTCATGCTAATCAAAGCCTCACTAAATCCGTCTATTCTAAACTCTTCTGCTAGGATGAGGTCCCATGGGGGAATGTTATCTGGAATAAATACCTGTCTCCCTCTATGTTTTTTTTTCAGTTGGAGAACCTTGCATAATTTTTTACCTACTGATGACATACTTAAAATGAAAAGCTTGAGGGGCCTTTCTAGATGCTATTTGTGCTTGGACAAGGAGGAATCAATTTCTCATCTCTTTTTTGAATGCAGTTTCCCTCAGGATGTTTGGACAACACTATTTACACATCTAAATTTGAGGAAATCTGCCTTTGAGTGGGATCACCTAAAAGGAAGTTGGCATAGTTGGAACACTCAAAAAGTTGCTTCCATTCCTTTTTTAGTTGCTTGGTTCATTTGGATGGCTAAAAACCTTGCAAAATATAAGGGCAAGTTTACTTCTGTTGCTGGGGTTGTGAGAAATTGCATGTCCTTTATCGAAAAACTAATACAATACAAGCATTTCCCTAACATTTGCTCCTCCCCTACTGAGATTTCATCTCATCCTCGTATATGTAAAGTGTTTTGAAGACCCCCTAGTCACTCTATTATCAAAATTAATACAGATGGGAGTTTTTCTGATCATGGTGTTGGGGTGGGGGGGATCTTCAGAAACCACTTTGGGAAGAGTCTTCTGTTCTTCCATGCACCTGTTATTGCTATTGATATACTAGAAACTGAACTTATAGTTGTGTATTGGGCCCTAATGATTGCAGTAAAGATCAATTGGACCCATTTGTGGATTGAGGTGGATTCCACTATTCTAATTAATCTAATTGAGCAAGAGGAACTATCATCGTGGCAACATTCTTATTGGATACAGAAAATCAAATTGGTTAGATCCCAGACCACCACACAATTCTCCTTCAATTTCAGAGAAGGGAACAGACCTGCAAACTGGCTTGCTAGACATGGGCTTAACTCCAACTCCATTTCTGTCTCCTCCACCACACCTCCCCTTCTTAGTTTTTTGCTTGTTGGGGACCTTATTGATGTTCCTCATTTAAGAATTGTAAACTGACTTTTATCCCTTTTTTTTTTTAGGATCCCCTAGGATTTTTTTGAGTTTTTTTTTTTTTTTTTTTGTTTTTTTGAGGGACCCTTTCCCTCCTTTTT